GTTTGGATCTTTCTCCATTCGTAATAGAAGCTATCCGAAGCTTTCAGCATTCAATTATCATAATTTGCTTTAGTTTTTATTTTAGTTTTTATTTCATATACCTCTCAAGCCTCTCTCTTTTATAAATTGAAATATAATTTACTTGTAAGAAAATGAACAACTCGGAAAGGGTACATACAGCTTGATGAGTTTTTACCTACTTATGTACACAACTGTGATTACTGTCCAGATGGTGGCTTAAGTTTTTAAAGACCATTTTGTGTGCTGCTCAGAGAATGGACTGAAGTGGGGTGGGCAACTATGGCAGCAGGGGTACCAGTCAGAAAGCTGTTGCAATCATCTGGGAGGTGTGATGGGGCTTCAAACAGAGTGGCAGCAGTGGAGGTGGTGTGAAGTACTTGTGTTTAGAAATAGAGGTGACAGTGCATGTTGATGCATAAGATGTGGGTGTGAAAGAGAAGAAGAAAAAAGCCCTCCCAAGTTAGTGGTCTGAGTAACTCAATATGGCGGCCCTGTTGACTGAGCTGGAGGAGGATTTCAGAGATGTACAGGGTGTTAGGGATCAATAATTTTATAGCAAAACTCTAATACACATCATAGAATTGTAAGGCAATCCCAAAAATCAAACTTATTGCTTATATTTGTGCCTTTAATATTTGCATCTGGATAACCTAACCTTTGCTCAGTTGTACATTCATAGCATGCGAGTATTTGTGTATACCCAGACAAACAAAACAACTACTGATGTCAACTAACAAACCAAGCACTTTCCAACTGGGCTGAGAAGATAGACCGAAATCCTAACTAACCCCACTCTCTTTCCTACCTTTTAGATTCTGATGTCAGAGCCAGGGAAGTTGCTACAGAAAGTGAAGGTGTGGCTGCAGGAGTACTGGAATGTCACAGACCTCATAGCCATCCTTCTGTTCTCTGTTGGAATGATCCTTCGCCTCCAAGACCAGCCCTTCAGGAGTGATGGAAGGGTCATCTATTGTGTGAACATCATTTATTGGTACATCCGTCTATTAGACATCTTCGGCGTGAACAAGTACTTGGGTCCATATGTAATGATGATTGGAAAAATGGTAAGCAGTGTCCTCTGATTCCATGTAATAAATTCTGAAAGGAGGAGTGGTGATAATAGGAGGAGGGAAATAATTCATTTGGGCCTGCTATCAAGGTCTAACTGAGATGGCCCTGGGGATGTTTTATTTTTTTTAATTCCTTTTGAGTGTTCAGGATTTTGACTATCTCTATATACTTAACTGGAGAATTAGTCATCACTCACCCATTTACTGAAAAATATATAAAGATCATCTATGGGGCTGGCCAAGTGGCTCAATTGGTTAAGAGTTGGCTTAAGAGAACAACCTCTGAGCAACAGGACCGCCAGTTTGATTCCCACATGGGCCAGTGATGCTGCGCCCAAGTTGAGCTGTCACTGAGCTGCCAAAAGGTGGCAGGATGGCTCAGCTGATGTAACAACAAGATTGCCTGTTCAGTGGAGGGCTATGCCCACCTGCAACTAAGACTGAACTTGGCACCTTGAGCTGGGCTGCCGCCCATATAGATAACTCAGTGGGTAGAGTGTGCGCTTCTAACAACAAGGCTGGTTCGACTCCCACATGGGATGGTGGTTACGCCCACCTGCAACTAAGATGGAACACAGCACCTTGAGCTTAGAGGCCACAAGCTGCCGCCGGGCAGCCAGATGGCAACTGTACCCTCCACAACGAAGACTGAAGAACAAACACTTGGCTGGTCCCCTTCCCCAATTCCCCAACACTGTTCCCCTCCCCAAATTCCCCAATAAAAATCTTAAAAAATATATATATCTATTTTGTGCCACGCACTGGATTAGGAGTTGGGTATGTAAAGGTGCTCATTCCATGAGCTATTTAGATTAAAGAAAGGTAAGTAATTATCATACAGGGTGAGAATGTTATAATAGAGATATGTACAGAGTACAACAAGAGCATAGAAAAAAGAACGCAAGTCAGGGAATGTTTCACATGGAGGTTGTATTTTAGCTGGATCTTGGAGGAGGAGTTGAGTCTCCACTCCAAATTTGAACAGATTTTCAAGATTTTTAACATTGCTTTTTTTGTTGGTTTGTGTGTTTAAATGAAGGGCTATGAAATGCCTTTCCCTAATACAAAGGGAAGACAAACACAGTTTACTTTAATTCAGTTCTTAGGTTATATTTGAATTGAGCATTAAATGCTATCAATACATCATCTGCCTTGTTACACTATTGGAAAATGATGTCTGTTAAAAACTAGGTTCCAGAATGATGCCCTACTTATCTTATTCTTTAAAAAGGAACCCCAAGTGGTACACTCATATGCTACCCCACAAATGGCTGTGGACTTGTTCCAACACTCCTTGACCACACTAGTTTCCAGACTTTCTCCATAAAGACTGAGCCCTAGAAGGACAGCATTAGTTCAAACCTGAGAGGATACAAGTAAATCAGCTCCCTCTCCAAACTCACTAGAGGAAAAATACGAGCCTGATGCCTAGAAACTGGGTTCTTTTTTTTTTTTTAACAGTTCCTCCACTTTCCTAAGTGTATCCTCTACTACTTCACCTTACAGGACATATGTGGAAAAGCCAAGTATAGCCATCCTGCAATGGCAAACACCTCTTATTGAGAAATCTGTTTGCTAATAACCTCCACTCCACTTCCATTTATGAGCTGTTGAAACCAACAATTGGTCAATAGATGTCCTTTATCATCCTCACTCAAGTTTTATTATATACATCATTGTTGCTTACCTTTCAGTCAGCAAATAAATATTTTTATTATTATTATTAAGTATTATTGTGTGTATATGTAACGCTACTAAAATGAATCTTTAAAAACCAAGGCTCTTCCTACAAAAGCACTGACAAACTCATGCAAAAAGAGGGAGAATTTAAATCCAAAAGGAAGGGGCTGTGACATCTTGAACAATTCATTTAATCTGTTAGAAACTCAGTTTACTCATTTCTTAAGTAATTACAATAAATGCATATCTTGTAAGGTTGTTTGATGATTATAAATATCATATGTACAATAGCCAGTGGCGTCTGGCTCATAGTAGCTAGTTGATTGTAATTCTGCTCTATTTTGTACAAAAGCTTGGTGTTTATAGCACCAGCATCATTTAGAGAAAATATCTCAAACCCATTCTATAGAGGAGAAACTTAAATTCAACAAGCTTGAGTTAGACTGAATCCCAAAACTGAATCCCAGTTCAATTGGGGATTTTTGGAAGTCCCCAAAAGAAATGCAAAAAAGAAAAAAGAAATGTATCTTACTCTATTATAGTCTGTTATATACTCTTTTTTGCACTTTAGTACTGAATTTGAGATTGTGGTGAAAAGTCCTATGTCTAAAAGCAAAGAGTCTCAACTTAGAGTGTATGGAAGAGATTTAGGAGAAAGGATCTGTGGACCCTCCATCCAAGTTATATATAAAACTGTGTGGGTATATGAATTTTCTCAACAGAGAGCACAAGTTTCCATGAGACTCTCAAATGGATTCTCAAATGGACCCAATGAAAATAAAGAACTGTATCAGATGCAAAATAGGCCAAGTTTTCACCACCTGACACTATTGATATCTGGGACTAGATAATTCCTTGTTGTGGAGGCTGTCCTGTGCATCGTAGGATGTTGAGCAGCACCCCTGACGTCTATCCACTAGATGACAGTAACTCACACGCATGCTCACATACGCACACACAACAAAACTGTCTCCAGACGTTGCTGTATGCCCCCTGGGGGGCAAAACTGACTTCTGTTGAGAACCACTACATTAGGCAATTACATAATCTAATTGGTTGTTTTTTCTAATTGAGCGTTACCTTGTTTTATTTCAATAAATAAAACCTGAAAAGACCCAAACAAACCAAATATATTACTTTAAAAAGGTCGGGTGGCATTTAAATACTTGAAATGACTAAAGGCAAACTAAAGCAGTAAGATTATTTTAAAATCCATGTCTATCATTTTAATGATGGCATAATTATCCCCAGTTTTTACTAGAATTAAACTTTACTATGGAGTAAGCGAGAAAGATATACTGCATTTTCTCTACCTTTTAACTTGTGAATGACTTCACTTATCAGCCAAGAATAAGTAGAAAACGGGTATAGTTGGGAGCTTTGTTCTCCATGGGGTTTTTAAGGTAATTGGCTCAATAACTGAATCACTGATTCAGAAGGTGGGTAAAATATGTCTATAGAATTTACCAGGGAGCCAGATGGACTGCCAGGCTGGAAGCTTAACAAAATATGCTCAGATGTGATTATACTGAAAACCCCTCAACGTTAGACAGTCCCTATTCAGTACTAAACAGCCAAGTAACTGTGCCCTGTAGTCTGGGGACGGATAGCTACTAAGATACCTGAACACAATATTGATCTGATATGATTCCAATTGATCTTTAAATCCAGGATCACTTTCCTCCATATTCCACATCTCAATGGAATTTTCTGAGCCTAGTACTAAGCTCACTTATATAATGCAGAATAAAAACAACACACTGTCATTTACTGTGTGCCAAATACCATGTCAGACATGTCATCATCATTACAGCCCCATGAAGTATATTTTAGTGTCTTCCTTTAACGGAATCAACTGAAATAGGGCAAGGGACAAAGGCAGGATTCAAACTCCTGTCTATCTGACGCCACAGCCTAACCTCCTTCTAATTCTAATAATAATAATACATTAATATATACTGAGAACTACCCACATTGTTTCACATATTACCTCATTTAATCCTTACCAAAACAATATGCATTATTGTTGTTATTATTATTATCCCCATTTTGAAAATGAAAAAAAAAAAAGGATTAAGCAAGGCCGCCTAGCTATTTTTGCTAACAGAGCCAAGATGAAAAACTCAGATAGTCTGACACCTGAGAACACATGCCTAACTACTACAGTATATATTCTCCTCTATAGAACATAATCAAAGAATTATTTACAAGAATGAGACAGAATCAGCTCTCTTAATATTGAGCCAACTGGACACTTTAGCTTTGAAAACAGAGGTAGCCAGCCCTAGTTCTCACTAATAATGTTCTATTTCTGTATTCCACTCTCTCAGATTTTGGCATTTGTATGGAAACTAAGACTTCTTTGAAATATATGAAGTCGAATATTTTGGAAGAATGTTCCTTCTCTTTAGTTATTTTGACACTTTGGATAAATATCACAATCATTCTGAATGAAAATAATCCTGAGAAATTAAACTAGAACAGTTGCGGTATTTACTAGCTGTTTTCTTGGGTCAGCCTAGCTCCTAAATCTCCTAAGTACACACCTTCCTCTCCACACCCACCTTTTAGTCAATCTAAATAAATATAACATGAAAAACCCATTAGTGTTTCTTCATTGGTAGAACTTTTTGTAAATAAATAATGAAAGAATTTTACAGAATAAAAGAGAGGATGAGAAACAGATACATGTTTCCTATACAATTGTTTCAACACAGCTTCCTTGCTCATTTTAAGAGAGTTCTGAAACCACTAAATTGTGAAAGGAATAACTAATTAACTAGCATATATTTTTAAGGACATTGAATAAATATAAATTAATGTCACTTTTTTTTAAATTCTTATTTAGTTTCAAAGTCAGACAAAACTTCAGAGATGGATTTTGAAGTTGCCTTAAAAGTTGATTAATTAACCTAAAATGTATTGAGCCTCCAGTGCCCTAAGGCAAACAGGAAGGCTGAGATGTTTTAACTCCAATTAACAGGCACCATGATATGTATTCTTTTAAAATAAAATTTTAAATTTAATTTAAAGCCTTTATTGTCATTGTAAGATTATAATTAATCTTTTTTTGTGTGTGGATGGGCATCCCTTCAGGAGGTTTGATATCTAAGAAAAGGTAGTCTTTTGTATTAGATGGTTTGATATAAAGGATAGAAACTAATCTCCAACTAGCTTAAGCCTGGGAGGGATATATTGATTTATAGCAGGGCGTGATGGAACTGGCCTTAAGGGTTACTGCAGTCAAGTTTTCAACCACTGCCAGGACTTGCTGTCTCTATAGAATATCTGCTTCATTCACTCTGATCATTAGTTGGGGACTCAGCCTCAGACACTCTGAATTCACATCATTACAATGAGAGAAAGGAAATTTCTCTGTAGGAAGTTTCTCTCTCCCAGCTTCAGTTGAAAAACATCCAAAGAAAGGATTCTGGTTGGATTCTTATCACATGCCTACTTCCTATCAGTGTTGCCAGAGGGTGAGGTACCATGATTAACCTAGCCTTGGAAAGACACCTACCTTTGTGGCCAAAATGGATGGGAACTGTTTCTAAAAGAAAGAGGCAATGGGTTCTGGACAGACAAAACAATAATTATTACATCCTCACCTATGTGTGGTAATAAAAGGAAAGTAATTTGAGAAACAGATTCCCAAATAACATGTATCATGAAAACAAGCAAAAACGAAAGGAATAAAGAGGGACAAGAGATAGCATTGGACTTGAATGCAGTCAAGAGAATTTTATAAACATGTCAAAATGAAAATCCAACGTTTCAACAGAAGGCACAGGAACGGGCTGTCTGATTCTAATGCCTATGAAAACACCCTTCATAACTGATAGGATACACTGCAAGAGAAGTAAGTACACAAAGAGTGGTTCTCTGAGAGACTGATTTATGGTAGAATACCATGCAGTGAGGTGGACCACAAGAATAAGATGGTATGTGATGGAAATTTGTTGCCCTGGCTTTGTTTACAAATGATTATAATCTTGAGCTTTCCAACTCTTCTAGCCTTTCAGAACTTAGAGAATTTACAACATTGCAATAGTTCTTGGAATATTTCAGCTATCCCAATTCCAATTTTGCTAAGAAGAAAGAGACCCAAGGAGGGTGTTTGCCTCCCCCAGGTGCGGAGAAAAAATTAGTACTGAATTCCTATAGATACCCAACTTTGTGTGTTATCTGACTCCCATGACTAGTCTTGACTAGGTCCCCTAGATAGCAATGGAAAATGAAGGGGTTTCATTATACATGTGTTTGGGTTTGTTTGGGGTTTTTTTTGTTTGTTTTGGGGGTGGGGGTTATATGATTTTTGAATTATTGATTAGATTTTGTGGACACTGGCTTTAATAGACCAAGTTGTCCTCTTATATATGGACACAGTTCCCTATCTAATCACCCATTATCAGCGTTATGGAAAGTGAACCTCCTTCAAAGGTTTCTATCAATGTCAATGTCATAGGAACACTGAATGATGTGAGTTTTCTTTTGTTCCTCCCTCTGCTTCCCCACCCTTCCAGATGATAGACATGATGTACTTTGTCATCATTATGCTGGTGGTGCTGATGAGTTTTGGGGTCGCCAGGCAAGCCATTCTATTTCCCAATGAGGAGCCATCATGGAAATTGGCCAAGAACATCTTCTACATGCCCTATTGGATGATTTATGGGGAAGTGTTTGCGGACCAGATAGACCGTAAGCAAGTTTATGATTCTCATACACCAAAGTCAGGTATTTAACTTCAATTGGGTCATATCTTTTCCAAGTTCATCTGTTTGTTCTCAATAAATGGCTCAAGATAGAGGACCGATTCCTAGCTTATCTTGGAGAAAACACACACACACACACACACACACACACACACACACACACATACACACATACACACAGGAGGTGAATATGCAATTTTAGCAAAGTAGTCCTCGGGTGTTTCTTCAGGTATGTCCTTTCTGTGACACGAATCGACATCTGGTGTGCCAAATTTGATTAAGAAACAAACCATTAAAAAGACTGAAATTCTCTGGGGACTCAAAAATCCTAGCACCATGTGTTGATTATTTCAATATTAGTAATATATTACATCACTACTCCCCACCCCTATCCCAGCCTGTAAAAAATAAATTCCTTGGGTTTGACTTCAGAACAAATAAACAATTCTCAATTTCGCCATCAGAATTCAAGAGGGAGGGCCAACATCTGCATGGTGTTTTCCTTGCGCTGGAAACTATTGTCCAGCTCCCTTTCCCTCTGACTCAAACTATGTGCTTTTGAGACTCAAAAGGAGCTAATATTCATTGCCTGGAAGTATGGAAAATGCCTTAGGTTATAAGCTGAGTTGCTTGCTGGAAATGCCAAAAATAAAATAGTATCTATATTATGAAGTGATTCAGTGTGGAGAGTGAGCGCCAGCAGGCCTCTGATGTTTCAAGCACTAATAGGCACTGATTCTCTATAATAAACACTCCTCTTGTTTAGAGTGTGAAGATAGTTGTATCCTCAGAGTCTGTTCCAGAATTTTATTTGAACCAAATGTGAGGGCACACCAGTCATTGGGAAGTTGTTTGGTAAGAAAGCATCAGGAAAGAAATATCTTTCAGCGTGGAGGAGCTAAGTCCCAGGAACAATGCTGTCTCATTTTCCCTGGGGAATTTAGCTCTAGAAATAACACCCCTCCAACGTTGTTGAATTAACCTTTTTTTTTAGATATTTTTTTGCTGACAAGCCAGCCATCCGAGCCCTGGACTGTGAACCTGGATTCGGGTTATATAACCAGGTAGTTGAGCTTATTAAAAGCAGGAGTGGAGACTAGTCAGCGTCCCTCTTCCCCCACTGCCAGGCCCAGGTAGGACTGAGACCAGGACCTAAGGACCAGGCCTGGGGAGAGCTTGTGTTCCCTGGCAACAGAACATACCACCATGTCATGTTGTCTTCCGTGATTTTGAACAAATACCCTTTCCTTCTCAAAATGAGTTATCTGAGGCAACAAGGGTTTTTGGAACACCTAATTGGAACAAAATATCCATTTCGTGAGACTTAGCCAACTCACTAAGGAAGAATTTTAACTCCATCTCCCAGTTGAATTATCTTTGCTTGACGTTGTGCAGCTTTCACCAAGACAGCTTTCCAAGGACTGGGGAAAACTCTTTTGGAATCCTCCTTTCAAATGGTCCCTAAAGGCAAAACAACACTTAAAAAGCCCACCTATGAGCATGCTCCTTGGAGACTAAATGTACTGTTTTCCCCCCAAGAAATTGCTTTGCACTTACATTATTTTGCCTTTTTTAATTTTCCTTTTTTTTCCCCCAAAATGAGATTAAGCCCCAGGGGTGTTTTGACAATGCAACACTTTGGAATGGGAGGAGGGAGGTGCAGATCTGTTTTATGAATGGAATTCTGTCTGTCCCTCTACAAGTGGCCATTTATTGATGTTGTACTATGAACCCAGCCTAGTGCAACAAACACCACCATCTGGCTGAATAACAGGATCTATTATTGTCATTTTTAAAAGAAGGGCTGATTGTAGTTTAGAACTTGAAACCCCCCCTGGAGACAGAAGAGAGGTGTTTTGTGTGAGTGAAGTAGGAAAATAGATTTCCCACATTGTTAATTAGATCTGTGGTGCTCTACCTGTGTGAGAATAAATTTCTATCCCAAATCCCATTATGTAACTGGCCCCGCCTTGAATGGATGCAACCTTCATGACACCCTTCCCCCAACCACTTACCTTCCTTTTTGATGTTCTAAAATTGGCTACAATGGCAACCACTGTTCTAAGCTAAATCAGCCAGTTTTCTGTCTAGAGTGCTAAAGAGTATTTGTCCTTTCTCAAATGGGTATAGAAGGCTGTCCCCAAATCTGTTATCACATTTGGCCAAGGTCATTGAACACCCCTGTCCTCTAAATGACTGATTTTCATGCTGTGGCACTGGGTGGGCCCACGGGGGTTGGGTGACTGCCCCACCTAGTCCTTCAGAACTGCCCAGGAGACCCACGTACCAAGCTATTTGAGAAAGGTACAAATCGTTTATGCTGCCCTGCGGTGTCTTGCCTCCTTTCTGTGCTGTGTCCAGGTTGGTTTGTGAAGCATGTGTTCAGGCTGATCAGATCTCATGTCCACCTGGACCCACAGCCCTGCCCAGGGCTTGCCGATCCCATCCTGTGGATGTGCCCTATGTGGGCCTCTCTAAGGCCTTCTCCTTCACACACACCTTCTCAGAGCAACTCATTTCTAACATAATGCACGCGCTCCATAGCTAACTCTCTGTTTTTAACTGCACAATTGCTGAACTCATTTCATGTTTGGGGAAATGACCTTTCTTAATTGAGATGAATGTATATAGATGTATAATGGGGCCCTAGGGGTGCGTTATTAACATCTGTCATATACTTCAAAAGGGAGGACAGCTTTAATGTCCTCATTTCTGGGGGCCAATGTTACCGAACTACAGATTTTTTATATACATTCCATTTTATTTCTTGTAGTTTCTCCTAAACCCAGAGACTATCAATAAGGCCAAAAAAGTTGGGATGAGACTTATACGGTTACTTTCCAAATGTGCTTACAGACTAAAAGCAAAAGCAAAAGAATGGAGTCACTGTAAACTTACAAAATAACGTAGGTGCTTTTTACCTCTAAACCAGGTTGGGTTAACACAAATGATAGTCTGACCTTAATTCCAATGATCTGTAGAGGCTAAAATATTTGCTTTGGTGTCAGGAGCAGAAGTGAGTGCAAGAATATGATTGGGAGCAGCAGATAATGAAACTGGGGAAGGGACAGTAAGTGTCCAGGTCTGCTTTGCCTGGTCAATGCACCCAACTAAGTAGCTCAGGGGAATGAACTTGCTATTGTTGTTCAGTGGCTTTGTTTTTGTTTTGTGTTGTTGTCAAATAGCTCAAAATCATCTCAGGTGTTTACGTTATGCATAATGCTCACCTCATTATATACAATACGAGGTGACTTGGGCTCCAGGGTGTAAAATGCATTGCAACCAAATGATGACTTTCTTTTGGGCATCTCATTAAGGTGCCCATGTTGTATGGCTTCTGAGAGCTGGTCAAGGTCCCACTGGAGCCTGAGTGGAAGGAAAGTCACTTAGAGAAGCAGCAAAATAAATTTCCAGCACATTTATGCCAAGACCAGGGCAAAGCTAAAATTAGATGGACTCTATGCCAGCTGAGAAATCTGACTCTTTTTTGGTATGTGAGGTACCTGGAAGTATACCTTTGTTGGCAGAGATGACGGGGTGTCTCTGGCTTCCTCAAGCCGCTGAATGAATGAGACTACTCTTTATTTACAGGGCATCCTTGTGTTGCCTGTCGTACATACAGATTCTCTAGGCCATACCAGGACAGGAGGAAAATGAATCATGCTCTTGAATGCATTAAATCAGGGTCTAAATTTAGTCCTTCTTTCTGCCTCTCTGAGTATTTTTACAAGTTTGGGTAGTTATATGAAGGCATTACTTTTTACCATGACAACTTATTATTTGGCCATTTCTACTCACTCTAAATTAGCCAGTCTACTTAATGCATGGGTCAAATGTTTTATTTTCTCTTATTGCTTAGGGCTTTTCCATCTGAAATTAGTTGATAATCTGGAGTAAGGAATTTTTTTGTACTTGTTCTTTGTTTTGGTTTGGTTTGGCTCTATTTTATTAATTAAATAATTAGTACAAACATTTTGCTATAAGAAAAAAAGTCTTGCTCTTTTGTACCCTGTTGTTTCTGTAATGTTGACTAGATTTAAAGGGTTGTTTTTCTCAGGAAACAAGGATCATGTATGAGCATGTAAGCTAAAATACTTTCCTGCATTACTTTTCTGCCTCAGATGACTTGTTTCTCACATCAGGTGTGGAAATTAGGATAACTCAAGGCCAGTCTCTAAAATATGTCTGCTATGATGAAACTTAGAAAAGCATGAACAGAGAAGGTGGCTGTTGTTATGCATTTCAATTGTTCGACTCCAGCTCTGGAAACTCAGGGCTCTGCATCTGTTTGGTATTCAGGACTGACCTTCTCTAATGCATTCAGAGCACACTAATGCCTAACAGCTATAACATGGGGAGTGTTGCCTGACCAAAGAAAGTATTTTGGAAAGGAAAAAGTTGAGACAGTGCCAGCTTTTAGGAAATGGGGGAATTGTTTTGCTGTGTTTTGTTTTCACAAATTGCTAAGGAAGCAAGCCAATGTGAGGCACCACCCCCATCTTCTGTCCCTGAAAGTCAGCTTACATTCCAGAGAATACCTACTTGACTTGTTTACTAATGCAAATTGAGGTTTAGTGTGTTTACAAACAGCAGAGCTATCTGCGCACAGGCCTTTGTGATGATCGCTATGCTGTTGTGATCAACATTTGTTCTATTATCATAATGTTCATTTAGCCTTTGCTCACAGGTTGGGCTCCATTTTTTATTTGTCCACTCTTCACTCAATAGATATGTATTTTCTTCCTGACACAGAAGTACAGAGATGCACATGACAGAGACGCTGTCTTCAAGGAGTTTACATTCCAGGAGAGTCAAACTGATGTTAACAGTATATATGTGGAGATGGAGCCCCAAAAAGAAAATAGCCAGTTCTTCCTGGGGTGAGAGTAGGGGCATAATAGATGATACCTTGCAAAGAATGAGAAGGCTGAGTTGAGCCCTGAAATATGAGCAGATATTTGCCAGACAGAAAGAAGCAGAGGGATG